GAGGCCCACAAAAGGAAAAAAAAAAAAAAAAAAAAAGATTTACCCAAAGTGATAAGTGGGGTCCGGGCCAGGGCTGCCTCACTGCACAGCTCCAGGGGGTGCCACTCACACTGTATCCTACAGGAAGAATGGTGGACCTGAGTGTGTAACAAGCCAGCCCCGATCAAGGGCACTACCAGGGTGCAGATCCATAGCCATTCCTGACCCACCAGAAACAACCTGTGTCCCACTGGATCCGCCTCCATGGTGGGGAAGCCAATGATTCAAAGTGTTTATCCCTCCACTCACGGGATGTTTCACTTGTCTCACTGTCCCTTTCAGATAAGGTTTCTCTTGACAGATGCACACTGATATTTTGTCACATCATTCTTTGCTGTCCTGTGCATGGTAGGATGTTTAGCTGCATCCCTGGTCTCTACCGCTAGGTGTCAGCAGCAAACCCCCTCCTCACCCCCCCCCACCAAGCCCCCACCGTCGTGATAATCAAAAATGTCCTCCAGACACTGACAAATGTCCCCTAGGAACAAAATTGCCCTCTGTTAAGAACCATCGCTTTAGGAAGGAGGCAGAGTTTAGGGTTTTTTATTCAGAGCTGTGACTCACAATTTGGCCACTTGGTCATTAGCATCAGTCACATATCAGGCAGCTACCATGTTCTAGGCACCGTATTAGTAATGGACAATTAAAAGTACGTTAGTTATCTTTTCTGATACTAACTCTCGATAGAATGATTCCTAATTTATGGAATTTGGAGACAAAGTGTAAGTCATTTTCACAAAGTTACTGAATGTTGGGGGGCAAAATTTAAGCCAAGATCCTTCAGAGTTTAAACCTAGAGAAACTTTTCCCAATGACTCTTGCTATTTCTTGACCAATCCGTTATCCAGGTTTCCTTCAGGTGCCGTCTTCCTAAATTTGCCTACACATAAGAACTACCCGGGATTATTAACAAAAAGGAAAAAAAACCCCAGATTCCCTAGCCCAGCCAAGCACTAGTGAGCCAGCATTTCTGGAGGGGCGTGGATTTTTCACAAGTGTCCCAGGTGATTGTGATCTTCAGGGAGGCTTGGAAAACCTTATGTGATAGAAATTTCCTTCTTTAACTGCTGGAAAATAGGGCACTCTGCTTTCCACAGATACCCTCATGAAGCTGAGAGATCAAATGTAACGTGACCTAAATGAGCACTTAAAAAACTGCAAAGCACTGAATGACGACAAGCTTTTAATGGTGTTACCTGTAGAAATATTCACTATCCACCAAGCCCCACCGCCGTGATAATCAAAAATGTCCTCCAGACACTGACAAATGTCCCCTAGGAACAAAATTGCCCTCTGTTAAGAACCATCGCTTTAGGAAGGAGGCAGAGTTTAGGGTTTTTTATTCAGAGCTGTGACTCACAATTTGGCCACTTGGTCATTAGCATCAGTCACATATCAGGCAGCTACCATGTTCTAGGCACCGTATTAGTAATGGACAATTAAAAGTACGTTAGTTATCTTTTCTGATACTAACTCTCGATAGAATGATTCCTAATTTATGGAATTTGGAGACAAAGTGTAAGTCATTTTCACAAAGTTACTGAATGTTGGGGGGCAAAATTTAAGCCAAGATCCTTCAGAGTTTAAACCTAGAGAAACTTTTCCCAATGACTCTTGCTATTTCTTGACCAATCCGTTATCCAGGTTTCCTTCAGGTGCCGTCTTCCTAAATTTGCCTACACATAAGAACTACCCGGGATTATTAACAAAAAGGAAAAAAAACCCCAGATTCCCTAGCCCAGCCAAGCACTAGTGAGCCAGCATTTCTGGAGGGGCGTGGATTTTTCACAAGTGTCCCAGGTGATTGTGATCTTCAGGGAGGCTTGGAAAACCTTATGTGATAGAAATTTCCTTCTTTAACTGCTGGAAAATAGGGCACTCTGCTTTCCACAGATACCCTCATGAAGCTGAGAGATCAAATGTAACGTGACCTAAATGAGCACTTAAAAAACTGCAAAGCACTGAATGACGACAAGCTTTTAATGGTGTTACCTGTAGAAATATTCACTATTGCCAGGTTATTTCACAGAGATGCTTGGCGCAATTAAAGTCACCTATCAAGGGACTTCCCTTGTAGCCCACTGGTTAAGAATCCACCTTCCAATGCAAGGGACACGGGTTCGATCTCTGGGCCGGGAAGATCCCATATGCCGTGGAGCAACTAAGCCCGTGCGCCACCACTACTGAGCCTGCGCTCTAGAGCCCGTGCTCTGCAACAAGAGAAGCCACCGCAATGAGAAGCCCGTGCACAGCAACGAAGAGTAGCCCCGCTCACCGCAACTAAAGAAAAGCCTGCGTGCAGCAATGAAGACCCAACGCAGCCAAAAATAAATAAAAATGAAATAAATAATTTTTTTTTAAAATGACCTATCGTGAGCCTCCCAAAGCCTGAAGCTTGATGGATTTTTCTTGGGGCAGCTTTTCATTCCCTTGGTGTCTCCTTTGCAGATAGTGAATGAGACAGAAAACTCTGGGGGCCGTGGGTCAGTGGAAAAGCAGAGCTGCAAGCCCTCTACCAATGCGGTTATTTTCTCTGTATGCTTGACAAAATGCCCATTATATCAGGAAAAGGGAGAAACCACGTGAGCCTCTCCTGATTGTGAGCCACAAACAGGTAGCAGGCAGAGACGCATAAAATAAACCTGTTGGCAATTTCTCCAGACCATCAGGTGGCTCCATGGACCATTGCGGGTGCTTAGGCTCTGAGTCAGCCTCCCATGGGCTCCCTGTTAAGTCAGGTTGTGTCCCTGAAATCATTTTCCACTCCATAGCCACCAAATAACCTATCACTTTACTCAAAGTTCCGTTCGTGGGAATAATACTCAGCTTACCTAAGTTTCATTTTCTACTCAGCTTATCTAAGTTTCATTTTCTAAAACCCTTCACCCTCCCTTGCTCCCATTCCCAGGGAACACATCAGAAATTGAGCTGGAAGATCCACGTTCAGATCAGCTTTCAAACTGACCCTTACTGTTCCAGGCTGGTGGACACAGAGACCTCACTCTGGGATTTATTGTAGAAATCTACCTGGGATGCTGCTCCGTGAGTGACTCCGAATTCACTCTGTCAGTGCTTTTCAATCCTGGCTCCACATTAGGATGGTCTGGGGAGTTCTAAAGGAAATATGCTGATACCTGGGCCTCCCCCTAGACATG